TCACTGGCTGCCCTCTCCCCACACTGGAAGATCTAAACAATACCCGCTGTCTTAAAAAAGCTCAAAACATTATAAAAGATATCTCACATCCTGGGGACTCCCTGTTTGAACTGTGCCGTTGTTACTTCTGCAGTTGTTGCTTGACAGTTGTTGCTTCTGCTACAAGACCTTTTATGGTCATCTATTTCCTGGAAACATTTGTGATGATCTCAGAAGGGACATTTTTAGCCAGTTTGACCTTGCTGGCAAAATAACCCCTAAAATTCCCCACTCTTTTCAGATCCCCTTACACAGAGCAATCAGTGTAAGAACTAATAGACTCAAACACAGTTTTTATCCAACTGCAATAACACGTCTGAATACTGCAAAAAAAGATGTCCATCACGCCACTCTTGTATGAATCTATGCACTGACTGAAGCATGTATGTGGGAATGTATGTGAATGTTTGCTAATACTATTCCTATTATCACTTTTATTGTTATTTATCAATATTATTGAATGTTATTGTTTTATTTATATTTTTGATACTGTTAGGGATGATGCACTGATCGGGGACCATTTTTAATTTCACTGTACCTGTGACAATGACAATAAAGACATTCTGATTCTGATTCTGAATTGTACTAGACTGTTACGGGGTCAGCGGATGCTGAGACCCAATTCTTTTGCTCTCAGGCTGGATAAAGAAAACGCAAACTCAGTGTATTCAAAATGTATGCTTTATTCAACAAAACCTTCCGGAAGGGAGATATGCACAGCCTCCTGCAGATCTGAGGGGCGCTCCCTCAGTCTGTTACATTTATAACCTTTGTTTTCAGCATCTGACTTTCCTGTTCTTCAGCCTTCTGTGTCCCCTGCGCCCCTCATGCACAGTTTTGATCAAAACAGCTCATTTTATGATCATGCACCCTAACTCTGTCTCTTTCTTAATTTAAGCCTTCATTTCAGTGTGTGGGCAATCTACAAATTAACTATTTTAAAACACAGCAAGCTTTCTACCTAGTTCTGCTTCTCTGTCTATATTTATGACAATGTCAGACAGTTGTTAAATGTTGCTCTCTGCACCCTCTAAGATAATGCAACTGTGCATCTATTCCTGCAATGCAATTTTTGTGATAACTGGTTTGTCTAACTTCCCTCAGGAACGTCCAGCGGGGGTGAGTGACAAAGACTCCATTCTGCCGGCTTTTGTGTCAAGGGATAAACAGACTGTTTTCCCCAAGGCTGCTAACGCCAGCTTTATGAACCTCAGAGCTTGTGTTCCTCCGGTTCATGATAATAAAATGAGTGTTCATTTTGAGAATAATTACACCTCTCTGGGCTCTAAAGACTGTGCAACTTTTGTCGCTCCGGAGCCAAGTGGTGTAAAGACTGTTTCTTCTGAGACTGCTTTGCATTCTAATGCACGCTCTATTAAGGACTCTATTTGTTTTGCCCCTTCTAAGCCCAAATTAATTTCTAGTGACTCTGTTTATCGTGACCCTGATAACTTTGTGTCAGTTACTTCCCAGGCTGTAGTTCTCTCTCCTGCACAGTCTACTGTCCACCCATTAGTTCACTCCTCAGTTCAGTCATTAGCTGCACCACCTATCGATCGTGGCTCAAGAGTGGGGAGTTCGCCTTATAATCGGAAGGTTGCCAGTTCGAGCCCCGGCTCCAACAGTCTCGGTCGTTGTGTCCTTCACCCGTTGCCTACTGGTGGTGGTCAGAGGGCCCGGTGGCGCCAGTGTCCGGCAGCCTCGCCTCTGTCAGTGCGCCGCAGGGTGGCTGTGGCTACAATGTAGCTTGCCATCACCAGTGTGTGAATGGGTGGATGACTGGATGTGTAAAGCGCTTTGGGGTCCTTAGGGACTAGTAAAGCGCTATAAAAATACAGGCCACTTACCATCTATTCTGCCTTTACCCCCTCCTGTTATTAGGGCTAGGTCAGCACAACCCTGAAAGGACTGTTTTTCAACCACTGTTTCTAAGCAGAGAGACAAACCTGTTAACAATGGAAAGGTTCCTCAAAAGCTGGCTGTGACTCACTCCAGGGCCTCCCCAGAGGCTGAGTTTCAGCCCTCAGCCCACTCTGGACCCCTGGGAGCTAAGAACCCAGCTGAGGACTGCACCTGGCTGTCGCTGCCTGAGCAGGGTCAGTGCTCTGCGCAGCTGCAGTCTGCTCTGTGTTTTCCAGAGGCCCACGTGCCTGCTGGTTCAGCCCTGTGTGTGCCAGGGGCCCCTGTGCCCGCTGGTTCTGTGACTGTTTTCGCTGAGGAGTCCGAGGAGCCCGTCCGGCCATCACCGTCGACTGCAGCATCCCCGTCATCCACACCTGCAGCAGCTTTAGCCTCGCCTGGTCCAGCCTCTGCTTCTGCCTCTGCCCCGCCTGGTCCAGCTTCAGCATCAGCTTCAGCCTTGGATGCAGCTTCAGCCTCATCCTCATCCTCGCCTGGTACTGCTGCTGCCACGCCGTCATCCGGTCCGCGTCTCAACATCGCCGGCCATCTTCTAGGCCGCTGGCTGGTCATCATCGCCATCGTGGAAAAGTGAAGGCAGAGAAAAGGTGGAGAGAACCCCAGGTGTCTGCAGTAAAAGTCTGTGGGAGCATCTCCAGGGAAAACACAAAGTGTCTGCTGATGTCTAAGACTTAAAGCAGTCATTCACCACATGGTTTTCAATTAGAATGATTAAATATGACTTTGGATGTGGATCTGTGCAATTATTCTCACACCCCTAAATTCTGCAGTAAAAATTGCTGCATTTTTATGGAACACTTTTCAATACTGCCGTAAATCCACTCCAATTAAAACTGAGTCTTGGCACATTAATACAGTATTCATTTCTTTATGTAGAACTGAATATGCTTAAGCTTAGACCCCGAAGTTAGAAAGAAAGGGGGGGGGAGAGAGAGAGAGAGAGAGAGAGAGAGAGAGAGAGAGAGAGAGAGAGACATTTTGGACTGTGGCATAAAATGGAAATGCACAACTTCTAAAGATGTGTGTCCCACCACTGAGCCTGGAGTCCTTTACCACAACCATTTCAAAAGCCAGATTTGAACAATCCTACTGTGTATAAATCTAATGGTACTTTTCAGCATTCACAATACCGTCAAATCTGACAAGATCCCCAACACCGCTGGCTGGAATTCCACCATCAAACCATGGCATAGCCTCCATTGTGTCGTGGAACACTTAGACGCACTTACATGTTTGCCTCAGCCAATGAAATTCATCACAACGAGATGGAGGATGGTGTGAGCAAACAGGAAGTCGGCGAAGGCTCTCTCTGGGGAGATGGACAGAAAATCTCATTTGTTCTGTGGGTTTATCTGGATGAAAAACTGAAAAACAAACAAGGGATTAAGTATCAGTATGTACCTCTTTCACTTGCCAACTACTGCAACAACTGCAGTGGGGCTACAGCAGAGTTTTTTTTTTTTCATGATAACTTAAATAGTTTTAAATATTAGGGTTAGTGGTTTAGAAGTTAAACACCAAAAGTCAGACAGCCTAATTTTTTCACAATTTTCAGGTCGTTACCTGTTTTTGCATTTAGGTGGAAATAGGAAGCACAGATACTATGCAGTATGACTGAAATAATTAACTGATTAGCTGATTGGTCAATGCAGACTGATAATTTCCATTTTTTGTCATCCTCAAAACACCACACCTCCATCACATTTATAAACCAAATAAATTCTCATACTTGTTAATGTCCAACATGATGTGTTATAAAGGCCACCAATTTACCAATGGGCTTAAATTACTGACTTCTAGTAGCTATTTGAAGAGCCACTGGTATTGGAATTTATAACTGACGAGATATAAAAATCTGATAAAAAGTACTGATAGGAGAAACACCCTTTGACCATATTATGATTGCTGATGTTACATGGTGTGTACACCAGAGGGCACTCTGCAACTTCCTGTTGGCATCGCGTGTTTGTAATGCCACAAACAACAACAAGCTGACAGAAAAAGAAATTAGAGTTCACTAACAGCATCTTATGGTGGTAAAAGTGGCACAGCAGCTATACACAGTTCAACAAATCACGTGGCAGTCTGAAGCGTGCATGCGTGAGGTTGTCTGTGTGTGTATAGTCGTGTCCAAATTCATGGGCTGCATCCTCCTGAGGACCCGGCCTTCGCGGTCTATGTGGGCCGGGTCCTCAAAAGGTTGGGTAGGCCGGAAGTAAACAGCTATGAAATTGGACAGTCTAGCTTTCAGATTTGCATCACCGCCGTCTCGGTGGAGTTGAATAAACTCGGCCGTCTGCTCCCTGCTATGTAAAATATAACAGGACACTGGCGTAAATTCTCGACCATCTCACACTTCTGTTTAATTAATTTTCTGTTTGCCGTTTATTCAGCTGTGTGAAAACCACCCGGGGGATCAATAAAGTTTTATTTGATCTAATCTAATCTAATAACTTTAATCTCAGCCAAACCGATTTACTTACAAACAAATAAAACACTGAAAAAGCCAAACAATAACATTTTTAGGTTGTCTAAGTGACTTATATATTACGTTTAACCTGAGTAGCGAAAGTCCGCAGTGATCTGAGATTTATGTGCTGTTCTCTGCGGCTCTAGTGACCCTCGAGCTCTCGGCTAGCTATCGAGCTGGTGGGTAACAGACGTCTCTGAAAACGTAGGAGCACTTTTGCAAATATGCGATATCTTGATAAACCGAGCAGATATTTGAAGTTTACACAGCTACTTTCTCGCCTGAAAATATGTTAAAAGTTTATCTTGTGACCCAGAAAGAGTGATAAGAGTAATATTAAAAACTTAGTAGCGATCGCCATTGTTGAAAACTGGAATTGGCTGGGCCGCACTATGAATTCTGGGATATGCTGGGCCACGAAGGACACACAAGACCCATCCTTCAAATTCGGGGAAAAGGAGGACAGCCTTCGGCGCGTCGCTGTGACATAATCGGCCTACAAATGCGTCCTCAGGAGGATGCAGCCCATGAATTTGGACACGACCCGTATATGCATGTGTGTGGGTGTGTTTGTTAGACACTTCCTGACATCGTATATGGCATGACATCTCAAGTCACTCCATTTAGGCATGACCTTTAAACACAAAAGCAGAAGTAAGCAATCCTGCTAAACTTAGAAAAGCAAGAACTCGTGGTTTCTTGTGTGCAATGAAATATTATAGCGATGAGACTGCTTCCTACATCTTATGTTAGCACTTCTAAACCCGAAAATAAAGCTGCTAATCGTCACGCTCTTTCTGCACAATGACAACCATATTAGGACACATAAAAGCAGTGGTTATATATATCTTAGCACAAATGACAATCTCAAAAGCATCAACTCTAACATCCATCCATCAGCCTTTTATGACGGAGGGGTAAAATGTTTTGAGCCCTGAACAAAAAAAAATGTTTTAGCCTCAATGCATGGGTTCCCCTTCATAGCAGCTACACAGTGGGGTTTTTTTCCATCTCCATCTGTATAGTAAAAAATTCCAACATGTTTGCACTTTTGGTACCTTGAGCATTTTAATAAAATTGTATAACAACTAGTTCAAAACCTCTGCACACCTGATGGGACGACAGCATCGGAGCAACAAACTTCCACAAAAACAACTAAACGGAACCCTTCACACTGTCTCAATTACAGATGAACTTGTATTTTATTGTGTTAATGGAATTACCTGAGAAATGAGCCTATCCAAAATAGACTTGGTTTGTGCTTCAGTTTTTAATGAGTGACATTCTGGTATTTAATTACTTAACAAACATGTGCTTATTCATGCTAACAGTTTGAACCAAGCTTGCTAGTGTTAGCTAATAACTTAGCCCACTATGCTATCATACAAACAATGTGATTGTTGGCTTTAAAAAAAGAAAGAAAGAAAAAGAAATTAGTTTTAAAAGAAAAACATGGCAGTTGACAAAACTAATATTTTGGCTTGGACATGCAGTACATACAAGTCAATAGTCAAAATCCCTGTGTGACCATCTAACGTTTACAGTCTTTGAGTCCATGGCCTTCCCATACACCTGCGTTGGACATTCGTGAAAAGTTCAGGGCTACGGGAATGTATGAAAACTACTTACTGCACATTTTCCTAGCTGCAAAATAAGCATCTGTGCAGCCTTAAAAATAATTAACCAATGTCACCCAAAAAGTTACTCGGGAAACCACGTGTATTCATTTAATTTTAATAAATAAATAAATAATCTGAAGTCACGCTACTAGTTTAGCATAGATAGCTAACTTGTGCCTGAGCACACTTACTGGATCACCCCTTTTTGTATAAAAAAATGTAATAAAATAAAATCACCGGCAACACATTTAATCGAATAAACATTTACCCGCGAGAATAAAAGAGCCCACGCAAGAGATGAAGCCCGAGAGAAAGCTATTGAATGGAAAGGTGCCGACGAGGAGACAGTAGAGCAGGGATCGGCAACCTTTCTGATGGCGAGTGCTGTCTAAAATTTCCTTAGAAGTCAATGTGCCATATGAGTGCATTAGCAATAAATTTAATAACACTCTATATTAACACAGTTACACACTTTATAGAACAACTTTATAGAATTATATTTGTTCGCAGATGTTGGTAGCTATCAGCGAATAGTTATCAGCTACTTTGAAACAAAAAAAGGAACTTTTATCCATAACAAGAACAGCAAATGAACTGTAAAACAGAACATGCAAATGCTATTTATGGTTTCCTCACAACAATGATAAGAAAAATAAACTGGGTCAATATGGCATGTTTGTTAACCCTTTAAGACCTACCATAGAACCAAGTCCGCCAGAGCTTATATTATATTTTTACATGCTGTAGTGCCATTTTTGGGAGCATTTCAAGTTGCT